GCAGCAGCGGAGGGACGATGCGCGAGTACAAAGTGGTGGTGCTGGGCTCGGGCGGCGTGGGCAAATCCGCCCTGACCGTGCAGTTCGTGACCGGCACGTTCATCGAGAAGTACGACCCCACCATCGAGGACTTCTACCGCAAGGAGATCGAGGTGGACTCGTCCCCGTCGGTGCTGGAGATCCTGGACACGGCGGGCACCGAGCAGTTCGCGTCCATGCGGGACCTGTACATCAAGAACGGCCAGGGCTTCATCCTCGTCTACAGCCTTGTCAACCAGCAGAGCTTCCAGGACATCAAGCCCATGCGGGACCAGATCATCCGCGTGAAGCGGTGAGAGGGCCGCGCGCGGGCCGGGCGGGCGCGAGAGTCCCTTCCGGAGGGAGCGGAGCCCGGGGTCCCGCCGGGACGGCCCCAAACGAGGCTCCAGGGCTGGACTGGGGAGTGATTGTCCCAGGGCCACAACTCCCCCGCGTGGGTTCGCGTGTAGAGGGAGCTGTCTGGGGAGAGGTTTTCTGTTTTGTTTTTATTGCCATCCCCACCATCATCGTCATTATTTGTAGCTCGAATTCGAGTGCTTTGTTTCACAACTAAAATTTGGCATCCCGTTAACCCACAGCACAGCTCTTTGTCTCTTGGACAGTCTTAGGAGCGCTTGTACAGAACCCTAAAGGAAACAAAGTTTAAAACTTGCAGGGGGCAAAGGGATGGATAGATTTGTATCGGGAAGAGGATAGTTGAAGTATAGGCAAGACATTTTCAGACCGAACCGCCCCCCGCCCCCCAAAAAAACTACCTTTGCAATATTGACAGCAAAAACTGCTCACACGTTTACTGTAAAAATGTCAGATCGAGAGCAAAGAGACCTTTATCATCTCAGAAAAGATTTAATGGTGCAAATGCGTTTTACAAAAATCAACTCTCATTTAGTGCGAAACTTTAAAGACAGATTGTCATGTTATTTGAAGACGTAAGAACTCAGTGGGGTTGCAAGAGTGTTGGCATCTAGATGCACGAATACACCATTTACTAATTAAAAGAAATGTTGCTTAATTCTTTAGGGAAATGCTTTTTTCTTCCATTTTGTGTTGTTTTCATCTGACCTCCCCCCCCAGAGGCCTTTCCTGGAAATGAAACAGAAGACTCTTCTAATGTGTGTTTTAAGTATTAACTGATTTAAACTTAATGCAAATAAGCTCTTTGCTGATATAAACTCTTTTCTGAAAAGTTACGGCTGATAGTTTAAATGACATAATGTTTGTTTTTTATTAAGTTGACTGACTATATTTTTCCCTTTAATTTCAAGCATTTGAAGTGTTACTGTCTTAGTTCAGAGTTTTAGCAAGTTTTCCTAATTATTGTTTAATTATAGATCAGTTTGTCTGTTTCTTACTATGAGTCGATCTTTGCAGATAGTCTTGTTCATTTAACGTCCTTTTGTTTTTCCTGCCCAATTCCACCTGTAGCCATACATTTTGAAGACAGATGCTGAAAGATAGTTCCAAGTTTACTGGGAGCACAATCACATTATCAGGCAGCTTGAGTCTGCTGATTTTGAAAGAGCAAGAAGAAAGTCCCACGTACTCAGGACTGCTCAAAAACTCATTATATTTCACTTAAAAAAAAACAAAAAACCCCTCATTATAAGCGGTGGATTTTTAATGCAGCATACGAGATTCAAGGGGAAGCCCTCTCCCCACTCCCCCCCTTAACCAAATGAGTATGCCCTTTAATAGCTAAATGAAAGTTTTGTGTTATTTCTTCAGTTTAATTTCAAACTAGAATAAAGTGAATGTTTTCATGGCCTCTGTTGCTAAGATCGGTGACTCTGATAGCCTTTTATTTCTCCAGTCTTAATATCTTCAAGTTGTTTATGGTTAACAGATGAGCAGTTTTGGTGTTGAACTTGGTATGTACACGACATTTAAGGGGCTATGCCATTCAAGGGATTCAAATGCTTAACTATACTCCACCACCCCACCCCAGCACCACTCAGTTAAAACACAAAAAAATCTACAGAACAGAGAAGTCTAACACATTGTCACATCTCAATGTTTGACCAAATACATACATCAAGTAGTAATCCAAGTAAATGCCCCAACTGCCCCACTCCTCCCATTTTAATATGTGCATATAAAGATACACATATACGTTATAAGGTCACGTACCCAGAGAAAACCTATTGGCACAAGCCTAACCAAAAAAATCCAACCTGTTGCCATTGAGTCAATTCTGACTCATAGTGACCCTATAGGGCAGGGTAGAACTGCCTCACAGGGTTTCCAAGGAGCAGCTGATGGATTTGAACTGCCAGCCTTTTGGTTAGCAGCCATAGCTCTTAACCACTACACCACCAGGGTTTCCAACAGAATAGCAGACAAAATACCATTGGATAGTATAGTCCAAAAAATTCTGTAGTTTCTTATTTAGTGTAGATTATTTTTCTCAGTGTATAATGTTTTGGTGTCAAATTGGTGACCTGGAACAACTCCTGCGCTGTGGTGGTGGGGTGGGGGAGGGTAGAGAATTAGAGAAAATTTGACTTGCCTGCATATCACTTCACTCGCTGATTTCCCTTCTTGATGTAAAAAGACCAGTGATCAGCTGAAGTGGAGTTCATCAACTCATTTCACTGGACTTCAACCATTTTCTCCATGAAGAACCACTTAGACCCTTACATTTATGTCCTGTTATTTGATACCCCACCTGTCTTAGTCATCTAATGCTGCTATAACAGAAATACCACACGTGCATGCATGCCTTTAACAAAGAGAAGTTTATTCTCTCACAGTCCAGTAGGCTAGAAGTCTGGATTCAGGGTGCCGGCTCCAGGGGAAGGCTTTCTCTCTCTGTCGGCTCTGGATGAAGGTCCTTGTGATACATCAGTCTTCCCTTGGTCTGGGAGCATCTCAGCGTAGGAACCTCGGGTCCAAAGGATGTACTCTGCTCCTGGCACTGCTTTCTTGGTGGTATGAGCTTCCCAACTCTCTGCTTGCTTCCCTTTTATCTTTTATAAGATAAAAGGTGGTGCAGGCCACACCCCAGGGAAACTCCTTTTACATTGGATCAGGGATGGGACCTGGGTAAGGGTGTTACAATCCCAACCTAATCCTCTAACATAAAATTACAATCACAAAATGGAGAACAACCACACAATACTGGGAATCATGGCCCAGCCAAATAGATACACACATTTTTTTGGGAGGCAATTCATCAACTCATTTCACTGGAATTCAACCATTTTCTCCATGAAGAACCACTTAGACCCTTATGTTTATGTCATATTATTTGATACCTCACTCTCACCTCATCATCTGGCTTCCCAAAGCTTACCAAAAAACCCTTTGCTAATGAGTCAGTTCGGACTCACGGTGATCCTGTAGGACAGAGTAGAACTACCTCACAGGGTTTCCAAGGAGCAGCTGGTGGATTTGAACTGTCAGCCTTTTAGTTAGCAGCTGAGCTCTTAACCACTGTACCACCAGGGCTCCCCTGGCTTCCCAGCATATAGCATATTATAGAAAAATGAAATTGAAAGAAAGGATCTGTGTCTATTATGTATTCTACAATGTATAAAGCATATATTATGCTAAAATAGGCACTCAGTGTGTTAGTTCTTTACCCCTCCTCCCACTTAAAGAGGATGAAACATAGTTTTCAAATAAGTGAATTTTCTACTCTTGTGGGACTCATTTTTAAATTAACCAGTTACTGTAGGAAATATTCAATAATTGTTCCCTCTCCTCTGCCCATTCTGTGCCAGCCAGCTGTTCTATAGAATAAGTATAGCAGTTGTTCTGGGATATTCAATAATACCATAATGCAGATGACCTAACTGAAGAGGAAAGAGACTTAATACCTTTCCCCAAGACCAGTCCGTGATGGGGAGGAGATTGAAACCAACATCTGTGTGAATCCGTGTACTCGCCTCTTTTCTTCTGTGTCAGGCAGCCTTTCACCTTAGCATTTACTGGCAAATTCAATATCTAATCTTTGGTTTAGGGCAGTGTCATTCAACAGAGTGTAATCAAAGCCCTAAATGTAATTTAAATTTTCTAGTAGCTGACTTTTAAAAAAGTAAAATGAGAGGTGAAATTAATTTTAATAATGTATCTAACCCACTGTATCTAAAACATTCCTGATAAGTGGAGAAAAGATTGAAGTTGTCAAGGATTTCATTTTACTTGGATCCACAATCAACACCCATGGAAGCAGCGGTCAAGAAATCAAACAACATATTGCGTTGGGAAAATCTGCTGCAAAAGTCCTCTTTAATAAAGGGTTAAAAAGCAAAGATGTCCCTTTGAGGACTAAGGTGCGCCTGCCCCAAGCCATGGTGTTTTCAGTTGCCTCATGTGCACGTGAAAGCTGGACAATGAATAAGGAAGACCGAAGAAGAGTTGATGATTCTGTGTGTTGTTGAAGAATGTTGACTATACCATGAACTGCAGAACGAACAAGTTTGTCTTGGAAAAAGTATAGCCAGAATGCTCCTTAGAAGTAAGGATGGTAAGACTTCATCTCACATGCTTTGGACATGTTATCAGGAGAAGGACATCATGCTTGGTAGAAGGTCAGCAAAAAAGAGGAAGACCCTCAACGAGATGGACTGACGCAGTGACTGCAACATTGGACTCAAGCGTAGCAACAATTGTGAGGATGGCACAGGACCGGGCAGTGTTTCATTCTGTTGTACATAGGGTCGCTGTGAGTCGAAACCTACTCTCTCTATATGTGATCTGGGAAATTACATACAGCACACTATAATGCGTATATCGTACATTTGTATATACTTCCAAGAACTTTGTTTCCATAAAACCATGTGCACCATACTTAATTGAAGGGGTTTATTTTCAAGGGTAACTTCTATTTTATTCAACTTTTCTCTTAGTCCTGTGTTTAGAACCTAAGCTCTCAGGGAAGGCTGTATGGATCCACCTGAGGGTTTCCTTTGCTTCTGTTTCCACTTTTCCCTTTTATCTGTCTCTCTCCATCTGTCCCCGCTGACTGTTTCCTTACATATATTTTTCAGACCTATGGTATAAAAAGGAGCCCGGGTGGCACAGTGGTTAAGGTGCTCGACTGCTAACCGAAAGGGCGGCAGTTTGAAACCACCAGTGACACCGCGAGAGAAAGATGTGGCACTTGCTTCCGTAGAGATTTACAGCCTTGGAAACCCTGTGGGGTCGCTATGAGTTGGAATCGACTCGAGGGCAGTGGGTATGGTATAAAAAGAGTTATGAGCATTCCAAATTTTTTGGAAAAAAATACTTGAGTTTAAATATGAGTAGACTTTCAAGTAAGGTAAAACTGGTGGAGACAGAATAGTTAGA